AGCTATGGCAGTGGTCCAGATGAGATGAAGGCCTGAACTAGAGTCATAAAACTGGAAATGGAAAGGGAGGAATTAATTTGAGAAACATTGTGGAAGTAGATTTGACAGGACATGTCAAATGATTAGATGTTAGGGTAAGGGAGAAGAAGGAAGCAAAGATGGCTGGAGTTTGGGTCCTCTGTGACTTGGGAAAATTAACAGAAATATAGATGTCAGAAGGAGGATATGCTTTACTTTTCATATAGTAGGCTATTGTTTATTGAATTAAATTGAATTATTTCCATTTTTAGCAGACCAATAAATTGGGTATGCAATTAGAAAGACCAGAAAAAGAACAAATTAAAAATCTCCAATTAAACACCAAATTGGAAATCCTAAAAATTAAAAGTGAGATTAATAAAATTGAATGTAAGAAAACCATTGAATTAATAAATAAAACTAGAAGTTGGTTTTATTAAAAAAAATAAAATAGATAAACCATTGGATAATGTGATTAAAAAAGCAGAGAAGAAAACCAGATTACTAGTATCAAAAATGAAAAGGGTGACTAGACCACTAATGAAGATGGAAACAAAGCAATTATTACGAGTTATTTTGCGTAATTATATGCCAATAAATTTAACAATTTAAATGGAATGGAAGAATACTTAAGAAAAATATAACTGCCTAGGTTAACAGAAGAGAAAATAGAATATCTGAATAAACCTATTTTAGAAAAAGGAATTGAACAGTTCATAAATGAGCTACCTAAGAAAAAAGCATTAGGACCAGATGGATTTGCAAGTGAATTCTACCAAACATTTAAAGATTGACTAATTCCAATATTAAATTATTTGGAATAATAGGCAAATAAGGAGTCCTACCAAACTCTTTTTATGAAACAAATATGGTGCTAATACTTAAACCAGGGAGAGAAAAACCAGAGAAAGAAAATTATAGACCAATTTCTTTAATGAATATGGATGCAAAAATCCTAAATAAAATATTAACTAGGAGACTACAACAATATATCACAAAGATTGTACATGGTGATCAAGTGAGATTTATGGCAGGTATGCAGGGATGGTTTAACATTAGAAAAACTATCAGCATAATTGACCATTTAACAAAAATCATATCATTATGTCAATAGATTAAAAAAAAAGATTTTGACAAGATACAACTCTCATTCCTATTAGAAACACTTGAAAACATGTATAAATGGATTTTTCCTTAAAATGATAAGAAGCATCTACCTAAAACCATCTAAGCATTATTTGCAAGCTAGAAGTCATCCCAATCAGATGTGAAACAAAGATGCCCATTATCACCAATATCATTCAATATTTTATTAAAAATGCAAACAATAGCAATAAGAGAAAAAAAGAAATTGAAAGAATCCGAATGGACAATGAGATAATAAAATTATGTCTTTTTGCAGATGATATGATGATATACTTGGAAAATCCTAGAGATTCAACTAAAAAGTTAGTTGAAACGATAATTTTAGCAAGGTAGCAGGATATAAAACGAACCATCTGCCTTTCTGTATATCACCAACAAAACCCTGCAGGAAGAGATAGAACTATCTCTTAAGATACCCCATTTAAAATAACTAAAAATAGTATAAAATACCTGGGAGTGTACCTGCCAAGACAAATCCAGGAACTACATGAACATAATTATAAAACATTTTTTATACAAATAAAAATCAGATTTAAATAATTTGAGAAATATTCATTGTTCATGGGTGGGTAGAGCCTATATAATAAACAAAAATCACAATTCTGCCTAAACTAATCTATTTGTTCAATGCCATCCCAGTTAAATTACCAAAAAATTATTGTATTGAGCTAGAAAAAATAATAACAAAATTCATTTGGAAAAACAAAAGGTCAAGAATATCAAAATAATTAATAAAAAAAAATTAAAGGAGGTTTAGCAGTACCAGATCTTAAACTATATTATAAAGCAGTAATTATCAAAATTATCTGGTACTAGCTAAGAAATACAAAGGTGGATCAGTGGAACAGAATAAATATACAATATACAGTAGTAAATTATTTTAGTAACCTTGTGTTTGACAGAGGTAAAGATTTAAACTTTTGGGATAAGAATATATTAGTTGGTAATAATTATTGGGCAACCTGGAAAGCTTTCTGGCAGAAACTGGGTATAGACCATTATCTTAACCATTTGCCAATATATGGTCAAAATGGATACATGTCCTACACGTAAAGGGAGATATCATAAGAAAATTAGAAGAACGTGAAACACATTACCTATAAGACTTATGGATAGGAGAAGAATTTACAAATAAACAAGAGATAAATAGCATTGTGAGATATAAAATGGATAATTTCGATTACATTAAATTAAAAGGATTTTGTACAAATAAAACCAACATAGCCAAGATTAGAAGGAAAGCAGAAAATTGGGGAAAACAATTTCTTTATACACAGTTTCTCAGATAAAAGTTTCATATCTCAAATATGCAGAGAATTTTGTGAAATTTGTAAGAGTGTGAGTCATTCCCCACTTGATAAATGGTCAAAGGATGTGAACAGGCAGGGTCTCTTTTGGTTTTCTTCTTTTTTTATTTTTAAATATTATTTTATTTTTTCCAATGTAAAGATAGTTTTCAACATTCGTTTTTTATAAGATTTCGAGTTTCATATTTTTTTCTCCTTCCCTCCCATCTCCCCTCCCCATGACAGCAAGCAATTCGATATAGTTTATACATGTGCAGTCATATAAACATATTTCCACATTAGTCATGTTATAGAACAAAAGGGAAAAGCAATAAAAAAACAAAAAAAGTGAAAATAGTATGCTTTGATCTGCATTCAAACTCCATAGTTCTTTCTCTGGATGTGGGATAGCATTCATATACCACAACTTGTTCAGCCTTTTCCCAGTTGATGGGCATTCCCTCAATTTCCAGTTCTTTTCTACCACAAAAAGAACTACTATAAATATTTTTGTACATGTCATCATTTTCCCTTTTTTATGATTTCTTTGGGATACAGACCTAGTCGCTGGATCAAAGGGCATCCCCTTTTTTGTTTGATTGTCCTTTGGGCCTAGTTCCAAATTGCTCTCCAGAATGGTTGGATCAGTTCACAACACCACCAACAATGCTTCACAACACCACCAACAATGCATTAGTGTAACAGATAGTTTTTTAATGAAGAAATCAAAATCATATATAGTCACACGAAAAATGCTCTAAGTCATTATTGTTTAGAGAAATGCAAGTTAAAACAACTTTGAGATATCATCTCACATCTATCAGATTGGCTAAAATGATAGGAGGGGATGTAGAAAAATTGGGACACTAATATGGTATTGATGGAACTGTGAATTCATCCAGCTGTCTTAGAGAGTAATCTGGAATTATGCTCAAAGAGTTGTAAAACTGTGTATACCCTTTGACCCAGCAATACCACTATTACATCTGTTTCCCAAAAAGATAAAAAACAAAAGGAAAAGAACCCATATGTTCTAAAATATTTCTAGCAGCTGTCTTTGTGGTGGCAAAAAATCAAAAATTGAGAGGCTACCCATCAATTGGGGAATGGCTAAACAAGTTGTGGTATATTATTTTGATAGAATCCTACTGTGCTGTAAGAAATCATGAGGCTGGTTGATTATAGAAAAACATGGAAAGACTTGCATGAAATAATGAAAAGTGAAATGAGCAGAACCAAGAGAACATTGTATACATTAACAGCAATATTGTTCAAAGAACAACTGTGAATGACCTATGAAGGAAGATGCAATCCATTTCCAGAGATAGAATTGATAAGTAGAAGTATGCATAGTATGGTTTTACATATATTTATAAATCATCATTAAATGGTGGCCTTCTCTAGCACGAGGTAGGGAGGGAGGGCAAATTTGAAAATCAAATAAAAAAAAAAAGAATTATTTCAGTTTTGGACGCGTTGAGTTTGAAAGGCCAGCAAGACATCCAGACAATGAAGTTCAGCAAGCAGAAGGAAACTCAAGACTTAGGAGAAAGGACAGTTCATAAGATAGAGTTTGGGGAGTCATATTAGATGGAAGTGATCATTGAAGCCATGAGAATGGATGAGATTCTCTCTCAGGCTAGAGTGATGAAAGATAAAAGGGCCTGACAAGTTAATAATAGGGAATGTGATCCAGAGCTCAGGTGGAAAGAGGAGTAGCCTTGACAAGAAAGGAAGCATTTCTCAGAGATAGGTTCAAAAGAGGAGGAAGTGAGTAAAGACACAGAAAAATTTTGAGACAGAGAGAAGTTAAGGGAGGCTGGTCTCCTCAGAGTAGCCAGTGAGGTTATTTCCAAAGTGAGAGGAACATGAATGGGCTCTTAAGGAGAGTTGGGGACAGGTTTGGAATAATTACTGTGGAGAAGATGATATGAATAAAACAAGTGTTTGGTATTGGAAGTTACTGGCATGAATTTGTAACAGCCCCAGCAAGGTTTATGAACTTTGTACAACACCACTTAGGAGAATGAGAGGAGAAAGAACAAAGTTTTGGATTGGCAAGGTGAGGATGGCAGTAGAGCAAGGTATCAAAGACAGAATTGTGAGGCGATAAGGAGCATGTCATTGACATTATTTAACTACGGAAGCCAGAACAGGGGTGATTCAGATAATAGGATAATGTTGACGGACTGGAGAGGCATGGGGGAGATGGGAGAACAAGATCAGTAGATGTGGTTAGAGAGGAAATTTTGGAGACCTCAAGATGTCAGAGGTAAAGAAGTGATGAGACTGAAAGTTCCTCCGTTGCTGGTGGGTAGCTAAAGTGGAATAGGGATGTTGGTCAAAAAATTGTGGAGTTTGCATGAGAAGGGTGACCAACGCGTATGTCAGAGTCACTGAGGATGATGGCAGAAAGTGAAGGAAAAGAGCAGGCCGGAGCTGTGGGAAGACAGCTGTTTTTCTCAATTAAATATCGCAGAAGATCTAATACAGAAATTACTTCTTTCTCTCAGCAGTCTTTCAGATTGTGCTATTTTTCTATTATTTCAGGGAGCAATGGCTGCTACATACTCTGCACTGAATCACAAGACCTTTCAGCCAGTCCTGGAGCCTGTTGCTGCTTCGAGTTTAGCTCAACGGAGGAGCATGAAAAAGCTAACATCCACAGACTTGTAAGATTGCCAAACCGGAAGAAGGGAAAATCTGAAGAACGGCTCTCTTCTCTCTATCTAATCGGTGATCAAAGGCATATATATAGTTTTCTGCTACACTACTTGAAAATTCTGTATAAGTCCTTTTTTTAGAAAAAAATTTGTAAAAACCACCACAGGTCCACAAAATTCATACAATGTTGTTTCGCAGCAGTGTCTGTGCGTTTAAGTTAAACACTAGGGTATGTTGAAACCCTAAAGATTTATTCCTGCAAACTGACTTCTTAGAAGTTTGTTCCAGCTGTGGATGTGTTACTAACGGTTTCTCTGGTTTCGTAAAGAATGGTTTGGGGGCGATCATTTCCAGTGACCAGGTTGCACATAAAGAAGTGTGATGCCAAGCAGTATCAGTATTTTTTTTTTAACATTGAGCCCTGCTAGAAAACCTTTTTGGTTTGTGTCATTTTAAACAAGTATAGAAACTTGTCATTTTCCATAATCAGTGGGCTCCGTTTAACTCGCTGTAGCTGCCAAAGTATGGATTTGGCAATTTGGTGCCAGCACAAACTACATTTGTGCTAGTGTGAGAACTCCCAGCATACCTGGTGCAAAGGCCTTGACACAAGAATCGACTAAAACAAGGCATGCAGTTTAGATCTGCATGTTATCCAGCGAAGTCAAGTCAGTGAGCGACTTCATCTAGATATAAGGGTATCCATCAGGCTTTGTAAAATTGAAATCTAATTGGGGGCTTTCTAGGAAAACCAGAGATGCCCCCCCCCCCAGAGTCTATCATCAATGGTGTAATATATTAAATAGGATTCAGCCTTTGAGAATATGAATCTAATGTTGGTACTGACTTGGTTATCTGTCACTCTTTCAGCTTAACCAGTCAGAGTCAGTCATTACCTGCCCCCTTTACACATGAATTACACTGCTGTTTTTCTGACTGCCTTGTGCAGTATGCCATGGTAATCTCCCCTGAAATGTATGGTAATCTAACTGACATTTTAGTGTAGTACTTGTGCACTTAGCACATGTGATATAGTGTGCATTTCAGTAAACTTTAGAAAATATTACGTAATAGTTTAAATTCATTAGGGTGAATAGCATTTTAAATAAAAAATAACATTAATGGTCGACACCTAAATTTGAGCACATTTTAAAATCAGACTTCATCAAAAAGCCAAACTGGTCTGAGATCATTGAATTTATGATTCAGAACCACTTCTGTAGTAGGTATTGTTTTCTCTAAGTGATGGACTCTCTAAATACTGGAAAAATAACTAAATGAAACATTTTCAGGTGATGCCATAATTACTATTACTACTGGCAGAAGGAACTCATGAATGTAAACTGGAGGATATTCAAATTTTGCTTTGTGAATATCTGTGAACTACTTGTGTGTGCTAGGAGTACTGTTTGCTGTGTGTGTTAATTTTATTCAGTTGAGAGCAGGAAATTTATTTCTGCGTGCAGAAATATACCATTTAGGTTGGGAGGTATGGAGGTTTGATATTTAATAAAAGAAAACATATTCTTTTCATTATATAAATGATATATACCCAGTGCACCAAGATCTGTTTCTTGGGTGTGATGTGTGAAAGTTTGTATCTCTTATTTTGAACTGTCTATTTGAAATACTTGAAAGACATTAAAGAGCATCTAATGCCACGTGGAATACATCATTTAGAAATAGTTATACTGGTGTCTTATCTGGTGGCTTTTCCTGTCCCAGTTTGGCTTTTTCTTCTCTCGTTTTTTTTGTTACTGGAAGTGCTGACACGTGACAACAGTCTGTTCGTATCTTCCAGCTTATTACCCACGTTGTCATCATTTTATTTGTCCTGTTAGGTCCTCGTCCTTTTCAAAGTTGATAACAAAAATTCAAAAGAATAGTTTTGGTGTTGGATTTTCAGAACTTTTAAAGATCTGTTTTCAAATATATTTCTGTAGTAATAAAATTTGGGGAAGTAAAATTGGGAAAGGAGATGGAAATGATCCTAAAACTTGCCATTTTTCCATAGGCATTCTTTTTGTTTAAAAAGAAAAAGGAAAAAAATGTGATTTTCTAAAATTTTATTTCATATCCAGAAGGACCATGTCATACAATCCCACTACTTTAAGGTACACAATCAGTTTTAGACAAAGAGGGATTCTCTGTCTGCTATGGTTTGTCCAGTTGATGCTTTGTAAAGGGCATGAAGATAACCTGATAGATGTGTATTTTCTGCTGGTTAGATTACCAGAAGTTTCCTTGTAAATTCAGACATGCTAGCCTAGTAGTATGAACTCTGAAATAAGATTTCACTTAAAAGGGCAGCTAGGTGGTGCAGTGGATAGAGCACCGGCCCTGGAGTCAGGAGGTCCTGAGTTCAAATGCTGCCTCAGACACACAACACTCACTAGCTGTGTGACCCTGGGCAAGTCACTTAACCCCAATTGCCTCACCCAAAAAACAAACCAAAAAAAAAGATTTCACTTAAAACAGGACTCATTTTGTAGAAGGAAAGCCAGGTAGGAATATCATCTATTCACTTCCACAAATATGAATCGAAAGAAGGCATTTGAGTGGCAAGGGTTAGACAGGACATGATTTTTTTTGTTGAACTAATCTTCACTTTCTACAAAATTCACTGTGTTCCTCCTGTGATATCTTTGATGTATTCACCTTTTTGTGGGATTTTCCTTCAAGTTAACAAAAATCAGAGTTCTTGGCAGTATTTAATGATGGCTTAGTTTTGCATGACTAGAGTGCAGGAGGGGAGATAGAGAGTAAGCACTGAATTTATCTTTCTCAAACCAAGAAGACTAGTTTTGCTCAAAACAACTATCTTTAAGTCCTAAAGCACATCTTATCATGAGAAAACTCAGGAAAACATTTAAAAGTTAAATTGTATGTAAGTCTAGTGCTGGTGGTAGTCATTTTGTGAGGGGGGAGAAATGACAACTTCTGTCCTTCTGTGAAGATTAAGCTTCAGCCTATTTTGTTAGACCCAGGAATGCTTATGCATTGAATTCCTATGCTTTATTATGGTTGGTATCAAAACAGTGAAACATTTTCCATAGTAAAAATTTAGATTTGATAGCAGCTTTCTTCCGGTGAGCTCATAGAGCTTTCACATGTACAAGTATTCCCCAGCCTAAAAACAGGTTGTTTTCCAAAAGTTTATTTGTAAGGTAGTTGAAGATTCAAATGCATTTTCCATCAACGCAGTGTTCTCTAGATGGTGGTTAGATGCCCAGGCTAGCTCTCAAAAGCCTCTTTAACCTATAATGTAGGTGGACTACAGTACTAGTCCTGAGTTCTACATTCTGGGAGTAGAGGCCATGTGACAGAGTGAGAAGGCAAAAAGCAAAGAGTCCTTCCTTCTCCCCTCCCCTGCCCCTCCCCTCTAAGGTCCAGGCCAAAAGTTTTAAAATTGACAGAGATTATCTTTGTCATCCACTTCCCTGTCTATACTTGTCAGCCACCTCTGAGCACTTCTCTGCTGGTGTTCTCATGTGGCTCAAAGTTTTCCCTGGGGATATCCCTACCTTGGCTTACCTTACCCCCAAAACGGGTTCCACGATGCAAAATTTTCTGCCTCCCATCCCTTCAGTCAAAATGACCTATCTCTGTGCAGCAAGTATTGGGAGGAATGCAATCTTATTGAATAAATTCACATTAATATGTGAGTGACTAACCCTGACAAAGGAGTTTGCATTTTAAAATGATAAAGGCTTATTAGATCACTTAACTCTCAAGTGAAAATGAAAATGAGGAGTTGCCCCACTGGGATGGCTCAGCCTTACCTGAGAGTGTGTCCCTTAGTCAGCTGCCCCAAGGTGCTTTTGCTTTCTCAGTTTCATCCCTTCTTCCGCTTTGGAACCTACAGATTATTTGAAAGCTTTTCTGTGATTGGAGAAATCTAAGTTGAAGATATCTTGTGTTCTAATTCCTTACATTGCTTCCTGCCATATTGTCCTTATTTTACAAACAGGCCTGAGAAGTTATGACACAGTGGATTGGCACTGGAGGCATAAGCTTCCAGAAGTGTTTTTTAAACTTTAGTGTTTTAAGTGTGGGCTCTTATCTTATTATTTTCTCAAGTGTAGTGCTCTGGCCACTAAGCTAGTCTTTGGGACATAGAGGTCCTGTTATGATAATACTTTTTCAGTAAGGTTGCAAGCAATATTAAACCTAGGTGGACCAACTACCATTTAAAAATGCATCCTAAATTTCAGTCGATTCATGCATTTGTGGAATAATTCTCTCTATATGCATATATATTTATGGTTTCATATATATTATATATAATTAAATGTCACATTTAATTATATATTATACATATACATATGTGTGTATGTGTTGTGGTACTTGCCATCTCATACAGGAGAATGTTAGCAACCGACACCCTACTTTTGAGGATGCACTGTTTCTGGTTTTAGTGTTACTATATTTTATTAAAGTACATTATGTAATTAAAACATAAAGTGATGATGTTTGGCAACATCCTATGACTTTGATCACCTGAATTCCACTGGGTTACTAATTCCCATGGATATTAAAAAAGTAGTGTTTCCTGAACGTAGATACTGATACTTCAACTTCATATTATAGGATTCCCGAGAGTTGAAACAAAACACAATTAAAGACAAAAACACAACCCTCCAAAATTTAAGTTTGCTTACATCATATATGCAAGATGTCACCTCCTAGCTTACTGGAGAGCAAGCAGTTTTTTAGCTAAACGCTTATAAATATTTATGTAATGCCCTGTTTAGGATTATGCACTAAGCTCACCATCCTCAAGAGACAGACACATATGCAAACAAACACACACAAGGCTTCTTTTGGTGACTAGGGTTCTTCTAGTTGTCTAATTACATGAACTAATTCACTATTCGAAGACATTTATTAAGTAGCTAATTGTGCGATGCCATACTAGTAGGCATTGTACTACCTGCTAATGTGTATTAACATCATAAAATCAAGTATTTGTCATATACTATGGCCTTTTCGATGTAATTGCCTCATTCTACCCTCTATGTTAGTGTTACTTAGATTGTGTTCCGAATATTTGAATTTCTTTTCTCAAGTCATCCTTCCAAAGTTACTGTGTGCTTTTAAAAACAAAAAAAGTTGAACAGAAGTGTAAGTTTCGTGCATTGTGTGACATGTAATTGTTTTTAAACCTCAGGATTTCACCTAAGTTCAGCAAATCTTTATTGAGCATCTAAAATTGATGAAAACAGTTCTCCACAGAAACAAGTTTTAAGGATGTCAACATGCATTATCTTTACCCTTCAATTAAATGTGTTCATGCTGACCTTTCGAAAACAAAAATGACTTCTCAGCTAAACCCCCCAGAGTACAAAAGTTGAAGGAGAATGTGTTCTTTGCCAGAGGTAGCATTCTGTTACCTGTGAGTTCAGTAGGCTCTCTAACCACATTAGTTAGGTGATGATCTCTATGTTGCTTTGTTGACATTTCTCAAGCACTTTGGCATTTTTGCACTGATGCTCTGATTCGACTAGGTATTGTACTGGCATGTTCGTACTGCAATTCTCAATACAGAAAAGGGCATTATGTGGAAGTTGTATGCAATTTAATGTACATGCTATGGTACTTAAAAACTGCTATGGAATAAAAAGGTCCCCAGTGTTTAGATATTGTAGTTCTTATTTCCTTCTATAAATATATGATGGAGTTTATATCATATTTATTTTGCTTAATTTTTAAATGTTTTCTTTAAAACACTGTACATGTTGACATTCAAGTTTGCATTGTACTACATTCTTCTCCTTGTAAGGCTGACTTCAGTAGTGCATTCTACAGTTTGTGTTTCCTTGTGCAGTGCTGCTGATAAACAGCTCTCACTTTGAATCTACAACATGCCAAAGACAACATAGAAATTGTATTTATTTTTGTTCTTGTTGAAACTCTGTGATCAACAATTATGGAGATACCATGTTCAATAACTGGCATTCTCTGGGTACTAGAATAAAAAGGCTGCAACTTTATAATACCTTATAATTGACCACACTTGATCATTTATGGGTGTATGGGTATAAAACTGAGACTGCTGTTTTTATTAACCTTGTACTGCTCATTGTATGGTTCATCTACCTTTACTTTGTGTTCAAAATCCACTTGTGAAAGTGTTTCAGAATATATCTATTTACTCTCATTTTTTAAGATCTTTCTACTCTAAGATCATTCCAGTGGTTTCTTTTTATTTGTAACGCGAGAAAAATCAAATTACTGAGTTTTGAGCATGAGAGCCTATAAAAATGTTCAGGACTCCAATGAGGGGGGTATATCAATGTGACATCATGTTGCAGGGCTGGTCTTTTCTGCAGTAATTACTAATTAAGATAATGTTGAGGCATTGGTTCATATTCTCTAAAGCTTCGAATCAAGTATCCTCATAGAAATTGAGCCTTCCTTGAAGGCTACGTTAATATGAAGAATTTGCATTGCTTTCACTAGGAATCTTGGAATTCTCTGCTTCATTGGATCTGTGATCTCAGTGTGAGTACTCACTACAGTGGGGCCTTCTTATCCTGTACAATTCTTCATACCTTCCCATAAATCCTCTGTGAAGGATATGCCCAGTGTGCTGCAGGCCTTCCTCTGCATCCTTGAGTAGTCTGTGGGCATCAGTGCAATACTCAGACTGTTCATAACTTATTCCTGATTTGACACTTTTTTTGATTGTGCATTTTCTGGATGATGGATTTTATGCCCCTTGTGTGTGTGAGTCATTGTTGGTAATGTGCTGTAGCCTACTCACAGCCACCATATCTTCCACTGCCCTTTGGATGACCCATAATTTTAATTCTTTGGAAATTGTGGTGCCCTATGATCTGCAGTTGTATATAAAGCGTCCCTAGAGAATGAAGAAGGTCCTCTATATCATTCCTTCCCCTACATACCCAACCTTTCCAAAAAAAAATGAAAACACCAAAAAAATCAGTAACAGATGTTTGTGGTTACATACACCACTTATGTTTCTCTCAACTCAGTTCAAGGTAAACAGCTGTCCCTGGAAAAAGTTGGAAGGTCTGCCATGTTTATTTGTTTTTTTTTCCCCTGTCACAGAGAAAGGCTCTCCGTCTTTCTCCTTCACTCTCTCCTTGCTGTCAAAAGGACCAGAAGCAGTCAATTATGAGAAGGTAACAATTTAAATAAAATGCCCAATTACATCATGTTTACCTAAATACATCTCCCTATTTTTACTCTGAAATGGATACAGGAAAATTAAATACCTAACAGTTTGGCCTTTTGCTTTGTTTGAATCACATTCATATATCTCTATCCCTATCTATCACTCTTTGGGTCCTCAACCTCTAGCCCCAGCCCTGCTTCTTTTTCCTCTTCCAAAGTACTCACCTTCTCTCT